CAGCCCGACTCACGCACACGCACACAACTTCGCAGGGCTCCCTGCAGGAGAAAGCACAGGCTTGCCCTGGCTTATTTAGGGGGAGGGTTTGGGGTTGTTGGGTTTGGGTTGTTTGGGGTTTGGGTTTGGGGTTTTTTTTTTTTTGGGGGGGGTGGTGTGTATCTTGCCAGCTGAGTTTCCAAAGCATACTGAGCAAGGTGAGCTCAGCTTTCACATAAAAGGCCACGCTTCGTTCAATCCCTAAGTTTCGCAGTCATACATCCAGTGATTTCTGAAAGCCAGTTTTAGGAGCAGTGTGGCATCTATCTTACTGTCAGGTTCAGAGACCTAAAGAAGAATATTGCCTCTGCAGAACTGTGCTGCTAAGAGCTAGACTTCAGCATCTCCCATAGCACATTTGCTCTGGGCAACGTGGACAGGCCCATTGCCTACGTATGATTCCTACCTTATGAGTTTTGCCAGCTTCCATGGTGGATAATAGGAGACTTTTGCAGATATTGGCAAACTGGTGGGGGCTCAGCATTAGCCGATCCCATTGACAGTTTGCAGCCAGCAGCTGCAGTCATTAAAAGCCATTTACACCCTGGCCTCCGCACACAAAGCTGGAGCGCCGGCGATTATCTGCTTGCACATTTCAGGACAGGAGAGTGTGTCCCTAACAGGCTTAGGGGAGCGCCGAATCCCCGGCCGGGCTGGGCAAGCACCGGATCCGCGTCCCCGGGGTCTGGCTGGCGACCACCGCGCCTCCTCGGTGACCCGCGCTGGCGAGCGGCGGCACCGGGCGCAAGCCCTTGGGGATGCCGGCTCCGTCCTCGCAAGAGCTTCTGGCCGGCAGAGCTCCTGCGCTGGGCGTCCGCGGGCGCGGAGAGGAGAGCGGGCTTCAGTGAGACCTGGGTATTTGCTGGTGAACGCACATCAGGGCTGCGGGTTTGTTTGGCGTTAAGCATACAGGCAGCCACAGGCGCGGAGTGCGGACGTGCGTCGATATGCCCCTACGGAAGGGCATTTCGGAAGAAATGTTTTCACCAGAAATGCAGTTGGTTTATGTTTCGTATGTCCGGGAAAAGAAAGGAAGAGAGAGACAGAGAGAGAAAGGAAGGAAGGAAGAAAATGAGAGAGCTTAAAAGAGAGGAAGGAAGGAAGAAGAGGAGGAAAAAAGAGAGGAATAAATAAAGAAAAACAGAGTAAGACAGAATGAAAAAGAGAGAGGTGGAAAAGAGAGAGAGGATGAAAGAGAGAAAGAGGATGTATGTTGAAGCTTTACAAGGTTCATCGGGAATCCTAATAGAGGGATGTAACCTATAGGTGAACGACCAGTGTATGATCGTCTGGGAGATTTAAAAAAAAAAAGACCGGTTTGGATTTTAATCTGGAAATATGTTTTAAGGTAGTTTAATTTGCAGCTTGAAGAAAAATGGAATAAAATATTAAGAAACTCCCGCAGGAATTCCCCCCACCCTCCCCTCTGTAATCCTTTACATAAAAGGAAAGGATTACAAAGAAAAAGATTTTGTGTGTGTGTGTATTAAAATCTTTGGCTAAACATATTGTTGTCCAATTAATACCTCCAAGTCGATTTGTAGAGGGGCTGAAAAGTCTACCCTCCTTAGCTGTGCAACTGGAAATATGAGCCAGGGAGGGAGGGAGGGGGGGAAAAAAGTTTTCCCCAAGTCTGTTAACAGAAGTGTTTAAGCAGATCACTAAAAATTAAGAGGGCGAGTTATTTCCATGAGGGCTATGAAGCCGTGTAGCACACCGATGACAGTTTAGTGGAAATCAGATGAATGTGTAATACAGCGAGCTTCTTCCAGTCCAGCAGCTCTTCCAACTGGACCTATTCATCTGCCACTTGGAATTATTTCACGAGGAGTGCGCTGTGAAAGGATCACAACCAGTTTGGAGCCCAGCTAAAGAACTTCTACCACCCATAGCAGTATTATTATTATCCTTCGGATAGGGCAAGTCACGCTATGTTTTCACATTTTAATTGTAATATCTCTCTTCCCTCCCCCCCCCCCCCTTCCCTCCATTGATGTCTGAAAGTAGTTTGGGCTCCAAGCCTCACCCCTCGATCTCCATCGGAATGCAGAAAAGATCTTTAAAAAAGTTTTGAATTCCTCAATGATTTTTCTTCTAGAAAGGCGGCTTAGGATAATTATTTCAGCTTTATTGAGGGCAGATTAGTTGAAGTCTGGATGCTGCGTTTCAATACTCGTTGTACATGCCTTTACAATGTCGGTATTGTTTGCTACTGTGTGTGAACCTATTCAAAATATACACTTTTTAACACCAAGCAAAGTCCTGTCTAAATATACACAGTAAGTCTGGAAAGATGTCCATGACCCGTACAAATCTCTGTAAATCACACTTCCATAGCTACAGAAACTAAACAAAAGAGTTACCAGCTCAAGATGCTGATTAAATCTTCTTAAAAGCAACATACCTAATAATAAATATAGTTGCATGGTAGCGAGGTCTGGCGACCCAGCTAGGTCATACTGAGGGATGGGCTCAAAACCACCACGGAGATTTTCCTCGCCCCCCATTAAAAAAAAAAAAAAAAAAATTAAATAAAATAAATAATAAAAAAAAGCACCTGGAATGCTGTTGTAGAGTGAACACTGTTAGCCACCTAGAATAAAAATCAAACTAATTCTAAAACTGCTGGCTACTGTGTCATCTTACTCCCCTGACACACACACAGTCTTGAACCCAATATAATTCTCTAAGAAAACATTTTTTCCTTCACCTTTGGAACTCATTGGCCTACTAGTATTATTAGTAATCACTAATAGACAAATTCTTATTTATAGTAATTTCTTATTTAGAAAAGAAAAAACACACAACATATCGTTGCTACTATTAAAATAAGGAGTAAAAGACCCCCGCCGCGTAGCTCCGCGGGCAGCGGATCCCTCCTTCCGCGGAGAGGGGCAGGGAGCGGGAGAGGGGAGGAGAGGGGAGAGACTCTTGGGGGGAAGCAGGGCTAAACCCAGCCTGTGCTGTATGCGCCTGCTTCTGGGAGGGTCACCGGCGTGAGGATGGGTCTAATGATCTCATCTTTCTTTTCTTCCCCGGCACTATTAGTGCTCAGATAGGCAGAATGAAGTGAAACTACGTGCAAATCATGTCTAAATTGTCTCAGTTAGGAGCCCTTTATCCGAACGTGTATCCCAGCCTGGCCCATTTGCTTTCCCCCCGTATCTCCTTTAGCTTTAACGAGGCTCGTTAAGATCACAATAATATTCCACCCTCTAATTGCTCATCCCATTCAACAAATATGTGCACACTGCTTTTCGCATTATTTGATCCCTTATTTAGGAGGGGTGTGGAGAGGGAGGGGGGAGAGACAGGGAGAAGGGGAAGTGCTGAGATTAGGAGTTGCAAAGATTAAGGAAAAGAAAAAAAAAAAAAAAACAACCACGGCTTTTCCACCAACCGCCCCGCTTCCCTCCCCCCCCGTGCATTTGGGCGAAGTGGTAAAAACCTTCCTTACGTACTCCGTAATGATTGGCAGGGGGG